AAAACACAAACAAAGAAAGATTCATGTCCAGCTCAAGGAGAGAAAATGATAGAGGTGAATGCTGGAAATTCGGGAAGAAATGTTATTTTAAGAAAGACTGCAAAACTCTTAAATATGTCTGTGGTGGATGGTCAAATAAAAAGCTCTTTACAAATGTCTCCACATGTGAATTCTAAGTTGACTCCTTCATATTGTCCCAAGATAATGTTGAATCATTGATAGTGGATTCATGTGTTCTTTTCATGCTTGCCTCACTAAAGAGGTGTTTAAAAACTACACTTAATGTGATCTAGAAAAAGTGTATTTGGAGACAACAAGGTCTGCAGTTTGTTGGAAACGGTGATCTTGATATTATGTTATCAAATTTATCAGTTTGGAAGCTCAATGAATAAGGTATGTTTCATATTTGAAAAGAAACTTGATGTTTATGAGTCAGCTTGTAATGTTAGGGTATGTGACTATTTTCATAGATGATTCGTGGAAGGTGACTTAAGCGGCAATAGTGATGACTCGAGGCAACATTGAAGACATATTTTATCTGATCAATGAGATGTCTAAATCCAGTAGTGTTACTGGAACAAAAGTTGATGCAAGTCTATGATATCGTAGGTTTTGCCATATGAGTGAGAAATATATGGAGTCCATTCTTACTAAGAGCAATTTTGAGAGTTTAAAATCTATAGATCTAGATTTTGATGAAGATTGTCCTACGATAAGCAAAAAATGTTACTTTTTCTAAAAGTGGATCAAAGAAAAAGTGTTTGAGTGACTAAATAAAGGTGTGATTTGTTTGAGTGACAACAATATAGAACAACCATGTTTTAATGTTGTAAAATATGTATAAGAGGGGTATAAATTCAGTAAAAACGAATTGTAACTGGATGTGTTTCATTCAACCCAATGTTTAATCATATAAATGCATTTTCTTATGTTTTCATTATTATTTTTTTCTTGTCTTAGGAATGTTATTTCTTACTTCCATAGGTTTTGACTTAATGCATTTCTTTGGGTCGTCATCCAACTCGTCAGCTATAAAAATCATTGATAAAGTTTGTCATCTCCTAGCATAATATTTATCAACAACCCCCCTAATATCAAAATACTTTGCTCCAGTCTTAATATCAAGAATTAGGAATTTTATAATTTCTTTCTCATATTTACCTCCGCAGGTCATCATTATAATAGTCTGCTTATCACAACACTTGTGACATTTCCGTGATCATTTTGCCGACTATAAATTATCTCATATACATTCATAATTTATATGAATGTACCTACAAGCAAATCATTTAATAAACATACTCAAATATATAATAAACATCAGTAAAATTCTAGTGTTGGCTCAATTTTGATTTTCTATAATATTTGTAGGTATTTGACAATATGAATAAATTTTTAAATGCAATTTCATATACCAAATGCCATGTATTAATCCCATAAAATAAATTTTTCCTTAAATTGACACTTGGTTATCTCACCTAGATAGATGAAACAAGCACATGATGAGTATCCCCAGGTTCGCCGTTTAATATACACAACTTGAAATCATAATTCTCTTTAAAATTATAGAAATTTTTAAATTTATCATCTTTAAGCATGTT